TTGTGAAGGGTGTAAAGTCTGGATTCTTTTTTTTTTTCCTTGCATGTGGCTGTTCAGTTGTTCACGTGTCATTTGTTGAAAAGCCTACCTCTGCTCCATTGTATTGCCTTTGCTCTTTGTCAAAGGTCAGTTGACTGTATCTGTGTGAGTTTATTTCTGGGCTCTCCATTCTGTTGCATTGCTCCATTTGTTTATTCTTTCACCAACACCACACTGTCGTGATTACTGTAGCTTTATAGTAAATCTTGAAGTTGGGTAACGTCAGTCCTTCAACTTTGTTCTTCAATATTGTGTTGGCCATTCCAGGTCTTTTGCCTCTTCATACACACTTTAGAATCAGTTTGTTGACACCCACAAAATAACTTGCTGGAATTTTTATTGGGATGCATTGAATCTATAGATCAAATCGGGAAGAACTGCTATCTTGACGATATTGAGACCTACTGTGTGTTCGGCCCTAACCTTCGCCCTGGGAGGTAGGAAGTTGGAATACACAGAAGCACAGGAGAGGCTCCCTCCATGGTGCTGACGAGGAAACTGCACCTCACACAGTGCCAGGCATACAGGTAGTGCTCAGTAAATGGTCACTGGGGCAACAAGAGATGCTGAATTCCAAAGCGCCTGGGCCGTATGGTGCCCATGCCATGCTAAGATGGGTAGCACAGACTCCCATCCCTCCAAGGGAGGACCTGGCCTCAGGGAAAACTTTGCGAGAAAGGCACTGTTGAGAAGGGAACAGGCCAGGTGGACTGGTCCGAGCAAGTCTCTTGATGGGGCAGCTGTGCTGCTAGGGGAATTTGCTGATTTATTTATTTATTCATTCACTGAACAAATATTTATTGGGTATCCATTATGTATCAGGCACTAAGAGATCTCCCCCTCTAACATGTCCAGCCACCTCCTGCCATTCAGACAGGACAACCCTGCATAGATTTTCTGATGGCCTGATAATTATGGACTGGGCCTTGAGGGATGGCGGGAGGTCCTGTCTCCTAGCCTTGGGATGGTTGTGGCTTTTTCCTATTTTAAGGTTAGTTTCTTGACAGGGAGGAAGGTATCATGGTATGGACTAGGGTGGTCTCAAGTTGCAGGGAGCCCATCGTGGCCTAGATGAACCCCAGCTTGCCTTCCTGGTGGGGCCCCTCCCTGGGGCTGGTCCTGGGCTCAGCATCCAGGTGCTCAGGGAAGGAATTCGTTATTCTGTCAAATACTTTATTATTTATCAACGTGGAGACGCTTCAAGACTTGAACTGATCTGGGAGCTGGGAAGAGGGAGGGGAACCAGCAGGAGGAGACAGGCAAGGAACAAAAAGAGAAGAGAGATGGCCAGGAGAGGAAGTGACAAGAAGCAAAGAAGGGTGTGGAGAAGGGGCCAAAGACAAAGGGAGGGAGGGAGGGAAAGAGGGAGAGACAGAGACAGAGGGAGAAAGGAGTCAGCCTTAAGGGAGAGAAACAAGACAGAGGGAAGGGGAAAGAGGGGGCTAGAGCTGCTGTTGAAGGAGCCCCAGTTCTGCCGGACATCCCTGCTTGGGCTCCTCCCTCTCCTGCATGCTGGTGGGAGCACTCACAGCACCCACACATGCATGCACAAGGACACACGTGTACATCCATGCAAACACATATGCACCAACACCCATCCCCCTGGGCACCGCCTTCAGAATCTCCACCACTGGAGAGGCGGGGTTGCCACGGCGACAGGTACTGGAGCCCCACCTCATGGGTATTAATAGCTTCCATTGAAGTCACCAAAACAGTGATTTCATCCAACCTTGTCTCCCTGGCAGCTTCCTTCTCCCTCCTCCCTTCCAGGATGGGGCTAGACAGGACCCTTGGGGCCACACAGGCCATTTCCCTGCCTCCTGGCAGCTGCCTTGGTAAAGAATGTCCTGGAAGCCTCAGGGATTCTGCCCCAATGTCCAGTGGGAAGGGGACTGCTGGAGTTCTTTGATTCTTTGAGCTGAGTCTAACCATAGCCCCTGCCAGAAAAGGGTTTCTGAGACACAGGAGCCCTCTGAGGGCTCACTCTCAGCTTCTCGGGGTCCCATGCGGTCACGCCTGCCTTCTCTAGGTCTCTGCCTGGCTAGACACTTGCATCCAGCTGACACTTGACCGTGGCCTCCCTTCCCACAGTATAGAGCTCCCTGGAAGGGCTAGGGCCAGGCCAGGGAGGGGGCGTGGGGTGAAACATTTCAGAGGCACTCACTTGTGACCCCGCGAGAGCCCGGGCCCCCCTGCGTTTTACACCAGGGATGCCTCACTTGCCTCACCCTCTCCTGGCTCTGCTGATGCTCCCATTATCTCCTCAACCCTCTTGGGGCAGCGGAGGTTTCTTTTCTGCCCTCAGTTCCCCGCCTGGGTCGCCAGTTCCTCTCGCCTTCCTGTGGGACTCCCTGGGATCGGGCTGCAGAGCCTGTAGCTGCCTCTGGACTCCCCTGACAGGCACCAGTCTCTGGCCCTCACTTCCTCTTCCCTTTGACCTTCTCTAACTCTCCCCTGCTTTGCCCACAGTCCCAGCTTTAGGCTACGTGGGGCCAGTGACATCCCTGCTGTCTTCTCCCTTTGGGGCCTCCATCCCCCCACCCCCATCCCCTGGCCCATGCACCAGCTCCTCCTCCCTGGGGAAGGGAGGGGTGGGACCCCGGGGCAGGCCCGAGCCTCCCCTCAGCCACCCTCTGCACGTCCTACCGAGAGCCCTGCACTTCACTCACACTCCAGGGGAATTAGTCTGGTCTAGACAGAGCCTTCAGATTTATTCTGAGGCCAGCAGCAGTTCACAGTTGACCTCACTGCAGCAGACTTCAGGGTATATGTGTATGTGTGAGTCTGCGTACGCTTGTGTAGAAGTGAATGTGTGAGAGTGCAGAGGTGTGTGTGCAAATGTGTGAGTGTGCTGCCATTCAGAGCCCATGGATTTCTGATGCATGAGTCATGGTTTGGGAGCGAGCCTCGAGAAGATATGCCCATAAATAAGACAGCACCCCTGACCTCCATGTCCATTCTGCAGCTGACTGGGCGCGTGATCTTGGGCATCTAAGAGGCTGGAGGCAGGGGTGGGGGCTGTCTTTCCCTCCAAACCCCACAGCGCAGCTGTCATGGATATTTCTAACTTGCCTGGAGTCCCAGACATTTATGGATGTGATGCCTGCAATGGGTAGGGGTCAGGGGGCAGGGGAGGGACATAAAGAGCTTCACTCCCAGGGATCTTAGTGGAGTTCTGCTGGCAGGCAGGCAGATTCATCCATTCCACAAGTATTTTTTGATAGTCTGTCACGTGCCGGGCACTCTCCTATGGGCTGGGGACATCATGGTGAATAGAGGTGACCTGTCCTCTTGCCTCACAGAGCTTATGTCCTAGTGGGGGAGGCAGAACATAAATAAGGCGGAAAGGCTACTTTCACCGTAATCCCTCCTCCCCCCAAAAAACCAATAATGGTATGGGAAGTGGCCGAGGTGGTGGGGGTTCTTTAGTTGGGGTGGGCAGGGAAGGTCAGGTGGTGACACGTGAACTGTGCCTGAATAATGAGGAGCCATCACATGGAGACCTGAGGGAAGAACCTTCCATAAGAGGTTGGATGAGATGCTTGTTGTCAGCTCACACCCTCACTGGATTCTGGATCAAAGTTGCTGAAGTCAGTCAGAGAACTAGAGGTGACCTAGAGGAGCAGGAAGGCAGATTCTCTCTCCGGGGGGACCATGGTTCATCTTCCACCCCAACAGACAGGGAGAAGGAGATATCCTACGTCCAGGTAGAAGGGGAATGGCTCCCTTACCCAGCTGGAGGATAAAAGAGTCATGTGAATAGATAACTTGCTGAAGCCCCTTCCTCTAGGAAGCCTTCTTTGATTGCTAAGGGCCACAGAGGCTTGGCTCACCCCACCTCTTACAGCTGACAGAACCACTCAGTTCAGAGTTGGTGGTTCTCTCACGGTTTGACCCTGAGAGCTGTTCCCCCAGCTTGGCCAGGAACCCAGTCTCCTCGGTCCTCTCTGTATTCACCCAAAGGCTCCCAATGCGATGTGTGCAGTGACTGGATAGCTGGGGCTTCTTGTCCTGAGCCCTTGCCCCAGCGCACCCTCAGATGTAACTGAGGGCCAACGGTCAAGTGCTTTGGTTTCTAATCTCACCCCACTCATGAGTGAATCAACCATTCACCCATCAAATTTTTTTTCCTTGAGCTTTTACTGTGTTCCAGGCCCTGTACCTGGAGCCAAGGGGACTGTAAAGTAGAGCTAACTCGCCCTGCGCCCGGCACCCAGGGAGCTCAAAGTTCTTGCTGTTTCTCTGTTTTCAACCCCGAGCTCCACTATCCATGAGAGGAATGAGCCCAACTCCCGGAGCCCCGGTATCTGCCTGGCCTCTTCCCCTGACCTGGGCCAGGCCCCCAGAGCCGCGGAGAACTTGTGGCAGCGGGAACGCGGCGCGCCCCTGGGCCACATCTGGCTGATTGGTCGCGCGCGTGTCACTAAGACGCTCATTCAACGGCGCAGCTGTCACCATAACAACCGGAGCGAGGGAATCCTGGCGACGGCTGCGGGCAGGGGGCGGGGGCGGCGGCCGCTGGAGGAAGCCGGCGGGGGCGCCCAGCACGCCCCGCGCTCCACAGAGCCCCGCTCCATGCGGACCCGCCGGCGGGAGGGCGCCACGCACGTCGCCGCAGCGGCCGTCCCCGCGGGCGGGGACCGAGCCCGCCGCCGAGCCGCCCGGCGCTCGCGCCGGGAGCCCTGACTCTATGGCCCGGGGGGAGCGCGCCGGAGCCTCCGCGCCGCCCATCACCAGCGGGAACCCGAGCGCCAGCCCGAGGAAGAGGGGAGCCCCGGGCGCCGCCGGCCCCGGCCCAGGGGCCCGCCCGCGGCCCCCGCCCCGGGGAATGGCAGGCAGGTAGCCGGCTCGCGCGAGGACTGCCGCGGCGGGCAGGCCCTGCCGAGGACGGCGCGGCCCCGAGAGAAGGAGGAGAGCGGCGGCCCGCCCGCCCCCGGCCGCAGCCCCGGCACGGCCCTCCCCCGGCGGCGCGCGCTCGCGCGCGCACCCATCCGCACACCGTACCTCCGCTCCTGCCCAGCCTCTCCTGCCCCCCGCGAGTGCCGAACCCCCTGGGGCCGGATGCCATGGGTAACAACTTCTCCAGTATCCCCTCTCTGCCCCGAGGAAACCCGAGCCGGGCGCCGCGGGGCCATCCCCAAACCCTCAAAGGTAAGGAAGGCTCCGCCGGGCCGGGCGCAGCCGGAGGACTGGGACGCAGGTGGAGGGGCAGGGAGATGTTGGACAGGTGTAGTTGGGGAGGACGGGCAGGTGCCACCTGTTGTGCGTATTTGGAGACTCGAGGTGCGCATCTGGCCCTAGAGGTGGGCCAGGGGTGGGGGGGGGCTGCTGGTGGTGATGTTGGAAACCGGGAGGATGGCGTTCCGTGGGGTCTGCGCAGTTTTCTCTGCCAGCACTGGGAACGTCACTGGAGTTAACTCAGGCCATGATGCTAGGCTAGCGTGCAGGCGTTGGGAAGGGCATTTGCCCAGTGGGTAGGGGAGTGTGGCAGGATGCTCAGGCTGGCCAGCTGTGCTTTTCAAGGGAGGCATCTCAGTCTCCTTTTTCATCTGCCCAGGGCTGGAGAGGTCACGCTGGAAGCACTAGTTGCATTTCCAAATGGACGGTCTTAAAGATCCAGGACTGACTTACAGCAGCCTGGAAGAAGGGGCCAAAGCTGATGGCCTCTGGAGTCCTCTGCAGCTGTTGACTTTTTGCATCCACAGACTCAGCTTGTTTTCCGGTTCCTCCAAAGGCCAGATGTGCAGCTGGAACCTTAGAAAGGAAAGGCTGGGAGCCTTGAAAGAGAGGAACATTTACCAGGAATGTCTTTGCTGTCTAAATCCCCAGACCTACCCAGCACCCGCAGGGAGGCCCTAGGCCCTGTCCTCAGCCCTGAGGCTTCCAGTGCTGTCTCTGACCTTTGCAAGACCCAACTGGGTCCTCCCAGGCCCTCAGACCCCACTGATACCCTTCAGGAAGCTGCTTTTCTATCACCCTTGGAACCAGCTAGCACTTGTCCTGGGCATTCTGATGACTAAGAGCTAGGAAGGGAAGCCCCTGGTCTTCCACAAAGAACCACCCACTTCTTCAGTCCCTTGGGTTGTGAGAAGGATAATAGTCATACCCCTTGACAAAGTGTTAAAGTTTACAAAGAACTTTCACAAACACCTGTTCATGTGAGGGAGGAAACTGCTCTGGGTAGTCAGCAAAACTAATCGAACCCATTTTACAGTGGAGGAGAACCAATGCTTGTTTTATGTTCCTGAAGCCAGCGAGAGGCAGAGCGAGGCTGCAGAGCTGTATCTTCTGACTTGGAATTCTGTCCTCTCTTTCGCTGGACACTTAACTGTCCAGACTGGGAGAGAGGAGAGACAGGACCACTGTTCAGCGTTCTAACTCCAAACCTTTCAGAACTTCCACTCTCACTCGGTTTGGGAAAATCAGTGGGTTTGTTGTGTCTTTCTGGAAATTAATATGGTGGTACATGTCAGTCTTTTTTGTAAAATAACACATTCATTGGCCTTGTGATTCTCCTTAGAGGAACTGATCCCGGCAAAATGGAGATCCAGGCAAATATTTATGCATCAGGTGAAGATGTTCACGGCAGTGTTATTTATACTCGGAAAACAACCTAAATGCCCTGTAATCATGGTATATCCTCTGGGTGGAGTATTATGCAATCTTTAAAATTGTATTTTTGAAGAATATTTGGTGACTTGGGAAAATGCTCAGTGCAGCATAATGACAGTTGAAAAAAGCAAGATACAAAGTTGTATAGGCTGTGAGAGCCCAATTTTGTTTAAAAAAATATGAATGCAAAAAAAAAAATCAAACCTTGGAAAGTTTCCAAAATGGTAACAATGGTTTCCCTCTGGGAAATGGGATCATGTAAGATTTTTTCTTTTCTTTTTTATACTTCACTCTTTTTAAGAAATTTCTACAATAAGCAAGTATTTTTTTATCATCAGAAATAAGCTGTAAGTATTAACATGGATAAAGACTATTTCTGAGTATTGGAAACAGATTCCTAATGATGGAGGAACCTGTGGACATCCTCCTGTTCAATGTCCTCTCTCACAAGTGAGAAGAATGAAGGGAAGGGGGAGTGATTTGCCCAGTTACTCAGTGCATCAGATGGTGAAGTTGGGCTGAACCCTTCAAGGATAGGGCAGCTGGACCAGTGATTTGACTTGGGGTTTAATTGCTCACAAACTGCCCCAAGAAGGCTGGCCTGCTCCATCCTTGACCCTAGGGAAGCCCAGAGAAGGCTTTGGTAATTGTACCCCTTTTTACCTAAAATGTGGAATTGTGGGGATGTGAGGTCTCCGTGGCTAGGGTCTTCAGCAAGGGAGGGAAGGGGCAGGAGAGGGTCTGGGATCCTCCTACCTCCCTGCCCCCACCCCAGCTTCCTCCTCTGCCTGACTCCCCACCTATGTGGCCTGGGAAACCTCCCTTATGCTGCCTCCCTGGTTTACAGGGATCAGTTTCTTCTTCTAGGGGACTAAATTGTGGTGAAATTCTCCCCCTAACTGTCTCCCTCCCTCTGCCCATCTCCCTTCAGGCTTGACTTACCAGAATCCACTCTCTTTTCCCTTCCCACACACCTACAGGAGGTGGCCGTGAGAATTTTGATTCTGCTCCTTCCAAGCCTGAAATGAAGGATTAGAGTGTGCCCATGACGGCCATCTATGGGTGCCCTCTGTCCCTTGCCCAGGTTCCACTGATCCTGACTTCTCCCCACCCTAATAAAGCCATCAGCTTTATTCTGTGATTGTTTTAGTGTCCATTCCAAATTCCCTTCTAACTGTATCAGCATTGACCTAGTAGTCTTCTCTGATATATCACTGGTCACCCAGAATTCCATTCCAATTCTATTGGTGTTGACCTCGATCCTGGCTGTGATTCTAAGCCTGTCCACCCAGACTTCTGCGCAGATTGCTTATGTACTCACCCTGAATCCAGCTCTAATTCATATCAGTATCTATCTTAGAAATTTGCTGGGGGTGAGGAACTCTCGATTTTTTTCTCTCCTTCTATAATTGCAATCTCTATTGATTCCTTACCATTTTAATTAAAACAACTGGAAGGGGTCTGGCATAATAGGGACCCTGGGACACACTGGAGAGCTAAGATTGGTCTGGCTGTCAGTCCGACATAAAATGAAGCCCGTCTATCACCTCTCAGGTGGTAGACTTTGGTGTTCTCCTTGGAGACACACTGACTTCATTGTTGGTGATTCCCACTGCGGTCTGAACAGTGTTGGTCTAGGAGTATCCAGGAGAGAGATCCAAGGCATAGCTCTGGGCTTAGGACCAAGAGACAGTTACAAGGAGTTGCTATGTGCCTGGCCTAGAGGTGAGGGCTTCTGACATCCCTGTACATTCATAGGCTGAAGATCTATCTGAAAAGGCAAGGCAGGTTTGAGTTGGACATGGACGGAACTGCAGAAACTGGATAGGTGACAAGGGGTGCAGCAGGCGTGCTAGGGTATGGAGAAGAGGGTTGGGAAAGAGACGTACAGCAGGGGCTTGGAGGTGGGAATCAGTAGCTATGTGTCTATATTCTCAATGAGGGGCACAGAGTAACTGGGGCAAGGGGCTCATGCTTCATGGAGACAAATACAGAGAATAAAGAAATTCCTCCTTTCCTAGTTCTTTCTGAGTGCCTGCTTGCTTGGTGTATGTGTTGAGGGGAAGGTAACTAGGAAAACCCTGTGGAGGGCTATCAAGCCCCAGTGGTCACCTACAGATGAGGATTGGATGGGCCACCTCCCATCTTTTTTTTTTTTAAATTGTAGTGAAATTTACATGAAATCTACCATTGTAATATTTTATTTATTTTTTGTTTTATATATTTTAGAAAGAGAGTGAAGGAAAGAGAGTGGGGGAAGGGGCAGAGGGAGAGAATCTTTAAGCAGACTCCCTGCTGAGCACGGAGCCCAACGTGGGGCTCAGTCCCACGACCCATGAGATCACGACCTGAGCCAAAACCAAGAGTCGGACACTTAACTGGCTGAGCCACCCAGGTGCCCTCATTTTAGCATTTTAAAGCGTACAGTCCAGTGACATTTAGTACATTCGCAGTGTTGTACAACCACCACCTCTATCAAGTTCCAGAACATTTTCATCACCTCAAGGGGAAAGCCTGTACCCAGTAAGCAGTCACTCCCCATAACCTCCTCCCCTGAATCCTTCGCTAAGAATGCTGCCCAGAAACACTGACCTAGGAAGTGGTGGCACTGGGACTTCTACCCAGAACACCAGCGCCCACGGGGGAGAACACATTGGGGCTTTCTTTTCCCTGACCCTCCGGGATGGCATGTGCTCACTGCCAAGATACGCACATTGAGGGTCAGGCACTGGCTCTCAATCACAGAGGCCAAGATGGAGGCAAGAGCAAGAAGAGTGGGGGGAGGAGGGCAGGAGCTGGGCACTGCCCAGGAGATGGCAGGGATGCCTCTATCCTGGTGTGCCAGCTGCCTGGGCCTATTTCTTGTTGGTCTGTGACTCTCCCAAGGGCTAGAGGCTTAGGGGCTGCTTATCACTGAACGGGTTGCTTTGGCAACCCTGGGCAGGATGCAAGTGGTCTCCGTGGTAACGCCTGGGAAACCTGCCTATGGGGATGGAGGGAAATGGACTGGCCAGCGGTCAGGCAGGGTGGCGCAGGCCGAGCTGGGCTAGGCTGCTGAGATCAAAGGCCTTTGGGGAGGGTCAAGCTTATGGAATAGCCTGGGCTGCCTGTTGGCTATTCCCCAGCAAGCCAGAGTCCAGAGGCCCAGGGGAACTGGGGGCCTGCCTGACGACGCCAAAGGCACCAATGCCCCCGAAGTGGGAGGAGATGGGGGTGAGAGTGGGAAGGTGGGGAGAATATAGCTTCTGGATGACAGATCCAGCTACAGGGTTTATTAAAAGATGCTTATCAGAGGTCATTACCCAGATCCTGCTGTTTTGGGAAATGAGCAGGTGCTGACGCCTGTGGGGAGCTGGGCAGGGAGAAGAGGTCTGGGAGAGGAGAAGGAAATAGATAAGAGTCACTGGCAGGCAGGCGGGAGGCCTTGGTTTTCTCTCTGCTCTAGCTGCAACTGGGGGTAGGCCGGGCTCTGCACTGGGCTCTGGAACTGAGGTTCTCCTAGGGTGAGAGTTGGGGTTCCAGGAATGCTCTGATGGGAA